GTTTATGACTGTTGACTGGAAATGACTTCAAATGCAGCTTCAATGTGTGTGTGTCTCTTAGATTCTTTGCACCCACACATGTTTTCATACGTGTTCTTTTGGATGTTAACAGTACATTTTTTATTTACAATGTTTAGGTCTTCAGACTTTCCTAGTGTACGTGATATTTGGCTTCTTTCAGAGTTTAAGATCCCATCAGCCTGTCTGTAAGACTACCTGGAGTGTAGAGCTTTGCAGTATGTGGTTAAAAAGCCAAGCTTTTGGACATGAGCTGAACTGTGAGGTTCATTTGTTTGATCTTGACACAGCATGTTTCCTTTTGCTCAGTCATGTAAAATGCAGAGTTGCTAAAGCTAGGCAGACAATGATCCTGGCCTGCTGTGGTTGATGTGGCTGCTTTTATTTGACCAACACATTCTCATTTCCAACTCGTCACATATGGATGCTTGGTCAAGACATTTATAACACCCTGGATGCCCCTTTATAGTCATTTTTGCACATGTAGGCCTCCGCGGTCAAGTTAGCAATATAATTATGCAACAGCCGGTTAGACTTTAAAAATAAAACTAGTGGTTAACGTTGTCAAACGTCAACGGCAATTTGGTTAGATTTAGATCATGGTTTGGGTTAAAATAACTACATTACATGACTTAATGACTTAGTTGGTATCTAGTAGTAAGGGTTGCGAATTACAACCAATAGCTCACTCACCGCTCACCTGCCCTTTTGCAAGCGCATTCTAAAAAACACCTATGTTCCTCCATTTCTCCAAATTTCTCTTGTCGTCTTACTTCTAATAAACCAGACGACTTCTACTACTACGTAGTCAACGTAGTGATGAAACACACTCTGTAGAGCAGTTTGTCCATTTGGGCTAACGTAGAAACATGACGGCACAACATGGCAACTTCCATGTAAAGAGGACTTGTGGTGTATGTAGATAGAAATGGCTCATTCTAAGGTAATAAAAACATAACGGTTCATTATGTAAGGTCTTTAAACACCACTGAAAACATAGTTATGGATATTATATTGCATTTCTGTCAATAGATCCTCCTAAATATTACACACTGGACCTTTAAGTCACGAAAGCTGAGTATTGTTACTTATGTAGCATAACACAACTAAAAATCAATGTTGATTTTATGTTTCACACGAGAAAGGAACACCGGTCTCCTGGGTAAAAGTCCAAGTACTGACCCTTCCTTCCACCCCAACCACCTCCTTACTCTGACTTTTCTGCTATTTATATACTACTCCTCCTTTTAGCATAAACAAATTACTCTAATGGGCTTCCCAGTGCATTACAAACTGACGCAAAGGGGTCTTGACCATGCGTGACCATATGCGACGACTTGGGAGTGACCACGGGTTGATGTGACAGCCATAAAGGCCTTGTGGCAAATTAAGATAAACTGCTAATGAAGGCAGCAGCACTGTTCCATGTTCACACTGCTCTATGAATATAGCAATACTTGCGGATGATTGTTGGTGGTATTGCTGTCAGAATGTTTCAGCATCATAAATACAGTAAAACTGCTATACCGGCACATAGTTGGTGCTAATGATGCCTTTTTAAATGTGTGTATTTGCAACTTCTGAGTTTGTGAAATACTCAGGGCCTGTGCTATAAATAGTCTCCCAAAAATTCTGACAGCTGACAAATTTATATACTTTCTTATTATATATTTATTTTTACTTTTTCAGCCAGATTTTCTTTAGACAAGTCTGGTAGTTTTCACTTCACTGGAAAGTGAACAGTATTAAATAAAATTCCCACCTGTAACAGAAACTCCTCTTTCCCAGTGCCAAGCAGCATCTAACCATGGCTGGAAAGAGGCTTGTGAAGCCAGCTTGGATGATGTGTGTGACCCACTCAGATCAACTGGAGATGTGGGTTTGGGTTTGTCAGTCTAAAGGGCGTTTAAAATGCACTTGGATGTTAGCATGCAAACCCACATTTAAAAAAAAAAAGGAGACTGCTAGTGCAAACCAGAGCTGCCCAACAAAACAAAGTGGTGAGAAGCGACCTCCAGAAGAAACAGAGAAACGCAGAGACGTGAGGACAAAAGGCAGAGCGACTTCAGTTGTTGTCACCTCCTGCCAACAAACAACACACAGCTGGTCTGTTGGTTTATGGGACAGCTTCTTCAGCGTGCCATAAATCTCAGTACCACTCCTTTTTAGGACTTTTGTCCTGCTTTACTCAAAGCCACCAAAGTTGCTCTCTTCAAAGACAATAAATAGTCTTTAGTCCGAGTTTGGTGGCATTAATTTGGCTTCGGCTCTTAACTCTTGGCACAGTTAGGATGGCCAAAAAGAAATGCCAGCAAACAAAACCAAACTGACCAAGACTATTTGGTATGCTTGTCTAATTCAGCAGGGGCTATCCAAACAAAACTATTTTAATGTGAATTAAGAAGCCTTTCAGTTTGACACTGTGGATTCATTCAAAGAAAGCCAACTCATTTATACTGAAATGTATTTATAATGTATATATATTATGTATACAAAGCACACAAATGTACTACAAACTTATTAGCTTCTTTTCACTCTTGGAGTAGTTAACCTGTTGATGGTTTCCAGTGTTTGACAGTAAGATCGGTTGTACAGTCCTAAATCTGACAGAGAAATCGCTAGCACTCAAGGTCTAGCCCTCCACCTAGAAAAAACCCAGGGAGTCCTGGGCTTTTCAGCCAAGACCCTTTCAGGTGGTTTCCTTCCACGAAGTTAGCAGCAGCAATAACTATATTGTTTTTTGTACTTCTGTGAGACTTAACATTGACCTCTCCATTACATTGTCAGACTCACGATGGACAGTTTTTAACGCCGACTCAAGTGACATCACTTAAGGACATTTATCAGACTTCACACAGCTCCCTCTGAGACACTAAAGGCTTTACACTATTTTAGAAACATGTGAAGTAGATCTCCTTAACTCCTGGAAACACACTCAGTGGAGTTCCCCTTTAAGTTAAGGTCATTTAACCTAACACCTTTCATTTTATTTATTTATCTTTAAATTGTTTCATGTCCATTCTACAGCTAAAATATTTTTCTCATTTGTCTCAACTGTTTGGTAGAAACTCATAATGAAAAATATATATCATTAACTCACTTATCTGAATTTGGTCCATAACCAAAATCTGCAAATGTTGCCATCAATAGAAAGCAATCATTCTTGTAATGCCACATACGCCTTCTGGTCTTTTATTTCACTTAAAATGGCTATTTACAAGTAAATATCAACTTTAAACAGCTTGGTTAAGGCTCAACATGAAAAAAAGTATAATCAAATAGTGTTTCCTCTAGGATTTGTTTTAGCAGCGGGGGCAGGACAAACCCCCCGAAAAAATAGTCACACTTCACAAAAAGTAAAATAAAAAGTGTTTTGTTGTTACTGTCCAGAGACTTTACTTAAAACAGCCTCTAACTTCATGACACCATTAAAGGGTTAAGTCGTTTCTTGAACCAAGTGCCATATATTAAATTCTTCAATCAATGTTTTGCTCTATTGTTGACAACAATATTAAATCAATCAACCTTGTGACACACATGGCATGAGTATCACAAAACTACAGAAAGTCATCTACATTGCATGGCTCTGTGACAATCTTATATCCTATTCAAATGTAACGGCTGAGGTTTGCACAACTTGTGCAGGTGACAAATCCCTCAGTCAGTGCCCACATCCAGCGTGCTGAAAACAAGGCTCTCATGTGAACACGCCAGCCTGCTTTCCCTTCATGTCATCACCTACTCCACATTTCCTCCTCTCTGCTGTTTCTGGCCCAGTACTCGGTGGAAAACACAGAGATCAAACAAGTGGTCACATGAGAAATGAGAGCGGTGCACTGTGCCGGCCCGGCGCACGGCCACCGGGGTTGCTAGCCTGGGGAGAATCAAACACCTGGCATTTGTCACCCCACATCCCCTTTACAGCCAACCCGACCCCCATTCCCTGTATGGGAAAACTTAAAAGGAATTTAAACACGGCACAGACACAAACACTGGTTCTGCTAGTGCTAAGTAATAACTCCCCTGGCAAAACAAGCTGCCCCTACAGAGAGAGATACATGAATACCCACGCTTTATACAAGCATTTGAGAATAGAAATAAAACACCACCCTTTTTTTCAAAAGCTAAAAGGATTAAAGGGGAACTCTGCTATTCACTGCCACGTCTCCTCTTTCTCCTCAGGTGTTGTAAAACCATAAATCTTTCTTGTCTACTATTTGGCTTTAAAACAGCCCTTCTTTATGGGGAGGTTGTCCACCAAATGTGCGTGGACCCGGCAACCTAGTCAAATGTCAGCCTATTCATGAAAGGAGTCACTGTAGACATGATATTTTTCTTATCCTGCTCTTGAGGTGGAGGTACAGAAAAATAAGTGTGTAAGTGAGCACATTCTACATCCATATTCAATTATTTGCAATACAAACATATTTTCTGTGAGCAAATTTAGTCATTTGCTGTCAATAAGGCAACAAAACTGCATCTTGTAACTATCTTATCCCAGCTTCCTCTTGGGCCACCCAGATGAATGCAGCTGGACTCCCACTAGGTTTATTGGTACCCACCCCTTCTTCTAATGCTCTTGCCCAGCCCCCTGGGGTCTACAGGCCACCATTAAAGAAGATTCTCTCCCTGTTGGTCATTTGATTTTATAGCCTCTCCAAGCTGAGGAAGGAGTGACCACAACCCCCCCCCCCCAAAGCCTTGGAAGAATTGGATACCCCTTTCCACAACCCCTCCCTTTGTTGCTGTTTCCAGTAAAGTGGACTGAAAGCTCAAATGAGTAAGTCCAACGTGCTGACCTTGTACAAGGACATGACAGCTGCTTCTTAAACCTCCATCATGTTAAGAAGAACAAGGGCCTCCTTGCTGTAAGTGTATACATCAATTGATCAGCTGCTTTACTCTTAAGACAGACAAAGGATATTTCCGGTTTCAACAACATTTAAAAGTCCAAAAAGATTCCAAAGAGATGTTGTACTTACATCTGACTTGGTAGACTGGTCCTCCATTTCAGAGTCATTGGGGTCCACCAGTTCCTGGAATGGCGTAAGTGTCGACACCTTCCTGCGTGCTACCTCGTCACCTTCTGGTCGCAATTTACTTGTTCGCATCTGCGATTTATCCTTCAAGAGTTTCTTATCCGAAAGTTGAGTGTCAGACCCTGACGTCTGCTTCCCTGATGAATCCACAAATCCCTTTTTACGTTTTTTGGTCACGTGATCGTCACCGTCAGGGGCGGACAGGCGCTTGTTTGGCCCTGACCCGTGAGTCATCCCCTCAGTCCGGTGCTCCTTGGACAAAGACTTAGGTTCCTTGAAGCCCATTTTAGGATTGATATCTCTAAGTGGCTGGTTCTCTTTGGGTTTCCTGGAAGGTTCTTTGGGGGCTTTATTAGGTTCCCAGCCAGAGTCTCTGAAGGCACTTTTGGGCTCTTTCAAGTCTTTTGGAGGCTTGTCTTTGTGGTCCTTGGAGGGTTTGTGGAGTTTGGAGAAGCTGCTGCTGTTGGTGCTGGTGGTTGTGGCTGTGGTGAGAAGGGAAGTACTGCTTCCTTTGGAACCATCCTGTGGATTAAAACCAAGAACAGTGTATTAACAAAAGACGGAATAATAAGGAACGCGTTTCAATTTCATGGTTATAGCTGCAAGTTAAGTCATGTATGAAAAAAACGTCAAGAAACTCTAACCTAACTAAACATTTAGGTTATTTAGGATTCAAAATTACAAACAATCACCTAAGCTACAAAAGAAAAAAACTTCAGATTAAAGTATTATGGAGCAGGGTAGAGGGAAATCCCACTTCAGGTCAATGGGCAAACAAAACAGGGCAAGGCCATAATTATCCAGTGAAAAATACTGTTGTCTGAGGATGGTATGGGCTGGTATTGCCATGATAATAACTGATCTAAATAAAATGCCAGTAAAAATAACAAAGAACCCAAAATATGAACAACAGGAGTACTTTTTGGTTTGAATCTCATCTTGTCTACTTACTTTGCAGGACTGTTGTGTAGACTTTGGACTGCACTTTAGATTACATGTAGAACTTCTAAAATGCATAGTACCAAACAACAAAGTGAGCAAAAAGCAGGCAGCTAGGTCAAATGAAGATTAATCCTCTGCCTTTTACACAAGAGAAAACATGCATGCCACCCTGCAGTTTGGCATTACCATCTGTGAAAAGAGGTCTATTCTTAAAAGAAAATCAAAAGGGTTTTCTTAGTCCCCATCTATGGGCTTAAAGAGCAAACTCAGGACTTCTTTTGAACGGTTCTGTTCAGTGGGGTGAAGGGGGCTTTTCAACAGACACACATGCGCAACCTTAAAAGTGAAGCAAAGGGAAATGTGGAAAAAGGAGGAAATGCATTCCTTCTAACGACGGGGGCCGTTTGTCCCTGGGTCTCACCTCTAGCTCCCTTGTCAATATTTCATCAATGCAGTAAAGCCATTAAAGCAGTCTAGACGACGGGGTGTGTTACAACTCTGCCCAACCACCTCTAAAACCTTTCATTATGTCTATCTGCTGGTGACCCCGGGACCTCAGGATGTAAAGCTGCCGGCTCGCTCTAAACTCCAGCATGGTCCTCCACTGCACTGAACCCATTTCCCTCCCAGGGTAGCCCAACATAAAAACTGGTTTAGTGCTCTAGAGGGGACACCACAGTGCCTCTATTGCCATCAACATTGAAGAGATCACTAAAGTGGCACTTTTTAACAAACCTTTCAGCACCACGACATTGGCAGGTTAGCAGGTGACCCAAGCTCAGGTAAATCACTCAAGTGTCTATAATTATAATAATATTGTCAGAGAAAGCACATCTTAATACATACATTTTTACCTTCTAGGACTGCATTTTTTTCCAGGAACAAGTGAACTGAATAACATCATATACCATTTATAATATATTTTTAGGGCCCGAGCACGAAACGTGTGAGGTCCCTATTGAAACTGAAGGGATTTTGTTCTTTTTTCTGCAAAGTAACCTCAATTTTGGGGGCCTAAACATACTAGAAAACTCACCAAATTTTGCTCATAATTCAGACGCGGCAAAAGATTTTGTATTTTATGGGTTTAGTGCATGGGTTTAGTGCATGGGCATGGCAAAATGGCTCGCGCCCCCTACAGAGCAGCCCCCGGACAAAGTTTCACCTACGTGTATGAAATTTCTGTGGTATGTGTATCATGGCCAGACGTGCAAAAAAGCCTCTTGGAGCGATGCCCGACACCTAGCAGGAAGTCGGCCACTTTAGATTTAATTCATGTCATTTTTGGCGATTTACACACTTTGTACTAGGGCTGTCCCCGACTAAGGATTTACATAGTCGAATCAGAATTGTCAAGTCCTGCCTATAGTCGAATCACGTGCTTTTTTTGCGCCGCGATTGCGAGCGAGGGGGGGTTACACACGGTAAGCTACGCTTTATTCTTAAGCTGCAGTCTCTATTCATTCAACTTAGGCTGTAAATTTCCAGCTAAACTGAGGCTTTTTGAAGATCATTTTCTCTCACTCGCCTGTCATTCACCGGTCTTGTGTGAGTTTTGCATACATGCCGTGCTGCCGACAACTACATGCACATCGTGGTTCCTCACGGGTCTATTTCAAGTAGCCGGCTATTTAAAAACGCTAAAATATTCTTTGTGTGGTTCATCAACGGTGATAAATTATTCGAAAGTCACATGAGGTGCGGACAACTCGGCAGCAAGTGTTCCTCTTCCCCCACAAAAACACTTTTGGATTTATTAACGCCCTTTTAAAAACATTTGTTTATTTACAGCATTATATGTTGAAATGTGTATTGTAATAGGCTGCATCCGCATGCATTCTCTCTCTCTCTCACACACACACACACATATATATATACACAAATGACACGTTTTACGCTGTAATGTCAGCAGGTTGGACACATGAACTTCAAAACTGTCCCAGGAAACACACTGATGAGGCCATGTTGTAAAATTTGTGAATTTTCGGTTAACGGCTTGGTGTCATGCTTCGCCATAACACAGGAAGTTGTTGTAACTTTACTGTACATGCTCAGATCTGTACCACACTCTACATGTTTCAGAACAGTCCCGCCTTGAACACATGTACATGCCAACATTCACCCACAGTCATTGCGCCACCTACTGGCAACAGGACGTGATCTTCAACGAAGCAGCCCCCGCGGTGTGTTTTACCTACATGTATGAAATTTCTGTGGCACATGTATCATGTCAAGATGTACAAAAAAAAGCCTCTTGGAGCGATGCCCTAAAGCCAACAGGAAGTCGGCCATTTTGAATTTTATGGTCATTTTTGGATTTTTTTTAATTTTATTTTTATTTTTTACACACTCCGTACTTTAACGAACTCCTCATAGAGAATTAGTGCAACCGACTTAAGATTTTCCTTGTCTACTCTAAAGCCATTGACAATTAGAAGTTGTACAAACGGTGTGTTTTCGTGAAACAGCGTGCCCGTGGCGTGGCATCCAAAATTCAATGATTCGCCATGAAAGAGGAAGTTGTTTCAACTTCAGTGTACATGCTCCCATCTGCACCAAACCTTACGTGCTTGAACAGTCCCGCCCCGAACACATCTACATGTTCATTTATAGTCGTAGTGCGAAGTGCTATGTAGCACCACAAAGGGGAAGGAAGTGATGATTAACACGTTTGTGCAGTGTCTGAAGCCCGTGGCAAATTCACAGCCACACTGTCAGAGCTCCAGAATCTGCAACGTGGCCGCCTCACACCTTGACGCGCTAAACGTGCGAGGGCCCGCCCGCCCATCTCTCTCTCTCTCTCTCTCTCTCTCTCTCATTCACATAAATGTAAATCTCCTGCTTTTGACGCATTTAATTTATTGACATCTTAATAGTACAAATTCATCAAAACTACTTGATTCCCATGAGCTCTGTTTTGGGTAATCCCTTCTCTCACACTTTAAGAAACTTTATATGACATGTTAGCCTTTTTATTATAATGTTTTTGGATTCTTTTACTCCCTAATTTAAATTATTTGTTTTTAATCAGAATTTGTGGCCATCATGTTCTCACTTATATTGTAATGAACTACTATCATGTTAGACAAATGCCTGTTTGAACTTTTGCAGTCAATAAAGTGGGAAAAAAGTTCATAAAAGAAACCCAACGACTTTGCTTCCTTACATTTCACTGGTGTAAACGGACGCACATGGTGGTGTGTTCCCCTTATAGAATGTGTTCAGGCACGCAAATTTTCAAATTTTAATCAAGGCCAGTAGAAATTAGTTCAGGCCAGAGGAGCATTAACCCACTTGCCCAACTGAGCCAGTGGCAATAAAGGTTATTGTTTTTTCTCTTGTGCTTCTGTAAATATTAAGTTCACCCAATAAAGTCTGAACTTATTTAAAATAAAAACAGTGTATTTAAGATATTGTGTGAGGGTGAGGGAGGGTGGGGTGTGACCTCCTGCTCCACAAGTAATTCATCACACACACTGTGTTTAGACTAGAAACTGTTTCCATGTGAAATGGGCCTCTCCTAACCTGGCTCTTAAATGACACTATTTAAAGGGACTAAAAATAACACATAATGGAAACATCATGCCAGCTCACTGACATACATGATTTAGTGCCGCACAAGATAATTCTGTTTACTAATTTGTACAACATTATTGTCTAAAATTTCTATACATAAGACATTCTAAAAGGACATTGATGATTCCCATGTTTTTGCTCAAAACCACAGGATGTCAAAGATTCACAAAATGTCTAAGTCAGAGGAGTAAGTGCTTATGGCTGAGCAGCAGCCAAGATATAGTTTGCTTAAGCCAAAGTAAGATGTCTTTGAAATCCATGAGTTTAAATACATTGGATGTCTTTGAACCTGCCAAATATGTGGGGGATTAAGGCCTGGAGACTTTGAAGGGGTAAAACGTTTCCCAGCTGGGTGGGGCCGAGAGTGGAGACAGAGGAGAAGGTTGTTTAGCTCCAGGCTGTACCTAAGGACAACACTGACCTTTGACCCATGGAAGCTTTTGCTCTTCTTTGGGTCGGAGAAGGTGGATGTCAGCAAGCTGTTGGGAAGTGTAGGCAGCTTCAGGTGCTGGCCGAAGAGGGAGGTGGAGCCCTCCTGCATTACCATCACCTGCCAGAAGAACAGCCACAAACAAAGGATCAGAGGCTTCTTTGCTTTGAAAGATTTTTGTTTGGATTAGAGTTGTACAGTTGAAAAGTAGGGTTGGGTAATATACCTTTTGGGTAAGTATAGAAAGTTGGCACTGAATGCTTGGCCAGATTCTTAGTCTTGTTTACTTATTCTTTGACCAGATAGTTCCTAATTTAAATCATAATGTTTATGGGAATTTATCTATTCCAAGGCATCTGAAAATGTGCCCTACTGGAATTCCTAGTCTGCCTTTGGTGTATTGAGAGGCAGTAGCAAAGACTAACCACCAGCTATTTTTATATTCTGATACTAAACTAAAACCTTTAATATTAAGAATGGCTGAAGAGATGCAAATACCTGATAAAAACACATCATCTGCATATAAAGCAAATTTGTGGTATGTATTAGAGCGCTGCATTGGGATCCCGCGGGACCCAACACAAATCACACCTGAGCGGGCGGTTTTAACTCTGCTGCGGGCGGGAGCGGGCGGTTAAAAAATATACTGCGGCTCCTGCAGTAGCGCTGATAAGATCGAGTCAACAACTGAAGTTAAAAGATTAAAGTGAGTGTATGCAGCTGTTCCTGAGAATGCACTGCAAGGGCCTGACTCGAACCGGCGACCTCGGGTACGGGAGGCGGACACGCTGACGACGAGGCTAAAGCCCATGGCCACTGGTATCGGTCGCCAGTGCGTGTTGTAAGGTGTCGGGAATGAGGTTTACTCACTGCACAGCCTCGCTGGCTTCTGTCACGCGGGTTTATACAATATAAGACCAAAGCAAGGCAAGTCTGAAATTTGGAAAACTTAATGCAAGGATTTATGTCGGTTTTTCTGAAGGTTTAGCATAGCCCAAACATTTGTGTCCTTTTTTACTCTGCATGTCACAATGTTTGCAGGTGTGGGTGGGAGTGGAGGCACATGTTAATGCTAAGCTAAGATAACCACGATCTGACTCCTGCTCTGTACTTAACACACAGACATGAGTCTTGATCTTCTTATGTAACTCTTGGAGAGAGAGAGAATCATTCTATTTCCCAAAATGTGGAGCCATTTCTTTAAAATACCGGCACAGACTCCGAATTTAAAAGCCTTGATGTTTTGGTACGTATTTGTTAAATAATACTGAGCACACATTCAAACATCTAAAGCTGCCTGTTTAATGCAGGAATATCTTGCATTCAATTCAAATTAGCTTTATTGGCATGAATGTGTAACAACAATATTGCAATATTGCCAAAGCATCATATACACAACATTCATTACAGGGCCCAAACGATGGCCAGAATATGCAAGAACAGACAACACAGCTGCTTCAGTGCGTCTCCACTGTGTGCTGAGGAAAATTACGGTAGAACTCCCTGCCAGGATAAAAGTACTGGTGTCATTACACAAATAACAATTGGCAGCAGTCTCCAAATATTTAGTTATCTATATAAGCCTGTTTCCATCCATGACCCCCAAAGCATGTTGGATATCTTACTTTTGAGTCCTCTGATGTTCGCTTGTGAGGATCCCGTTGCTGTTAAAGAGAGGGACAACAAAAGAAAGAGGTAATTATCATCTATAGCCCAATTCTTTGAATAATAAGCATTATTTCATCTTAGTAAAATGTTAATTTATTAATGTAAGAATCTGTGGAACAAGGTGTGACAAGTAACTTTGAACTGAATAAAATAGTACAGCACAATGTACTAAGACCTTTCAGTAGTGAGACCTGACAATGGAGAATTTAAGTTTTGACATGGTCAATGTCAGCACTTGAGCCTTTTTTCAGGCTAAGGGGGAAGGGGATGCAGGGCAAAGTAAATAGAGAGCACTTAGCTCCAGTCATAAAACCTCCGACTACAGGAGTCTTCCGGCCGGTGGCCAATAATCTGACTACACCCAACACTGAGGAAGAAGCTAGGGATGTCCCGAGCTGTATCGGGAGCATTCTGGGCACATTTCCATTGATCGGTATTTGATAAAATAAAGCAGATCAAAATCCATTCCTTTCTTTACTATACTCTGTTTTGTCTGTCTCAGCCTGCTAGTGTTGCTGTGTGCTGCTCTCCTTAAAGGTGGAGTAAGTGTTTCCCCAGAGACCCCTCTAGTACAGAAACTCCTTTCACTTTAGCCATGAAGGAAAGATGAGCGAGGACAAGGATGAAGGTCACCGTGGGTGAAAAGGTTTGTGGTGAAGGAGTCACATCCCTTTGCTACGGTTAAGTCTCCTCTGTTTGTAAAATGCATTATTGATATCTGCTTTTACACAATATCCATGGACCTTCTTAGATATTTACCCAAGTCATAGCACATCAGAAACAGCTGACAGATCACTGATCAGTTATTTTTTATAAATTAAGGGAAAAAGAAACCTTCCTGTTTTTACTGATTACAGCTTAGAATATTGGAATTGGAACAGAGATTTGATAAAAACAGCTTCCACAAGTGAAACTGTAATTTAAACAATACCCTAGCTGCTATCTCTCCTCTCTGTAGCACAGAGTGGATACATGTGTTGTGTATCCACTCTGTGCTTAACTAAGCTTTTTATTATACATATTTAATCAGCAATAAATTCAGGTAAATATAAGTAGCGGATCAGATTCAAATACCCAATACTAAAGGACTCCAATCAGGACAGAGACCAAAAATGTCCAAAGATGTCCCTAAAAGCAACTTTATCACAACAGTAACGACTAGAGAGCTATAATGACAAGATAATCAGATCTTAGTGCTGCCAAATTTAAAGTCAACGGTCAAGCAATAAAGTGGCCTCTTCAGAGTAGGAGAACCGATAACAGGAGTGATTAGGTTTCACCTCATACACTGTAACAGAATGACATTTGGCACGCACAGTCACACTTGTGAACAGCAGTTGTGGAGCCTAAAAGTCAAATAAAGAGCAGTTTTTTTTCTTAGGCCTGGAAACAGTTTCTCCTTACTAGTGGTTGACCGATACAGGTTTTTCGATGGCCGATGCTGATACTTTGAGAGCAGGGCGGCCGAAATATAAAATGCCGATATCAAAACAAAAAGAAGTCATGTATAATTCTATTATTCCAAGCAAAGTACAATCTTATATACATGTTATATCAGCCAGTAAGGTGTTGTTTTAGAGGCTGTGAGGAGATCACTACTCCTTACAATAAAAAATGTGATTGTGCCATTAACGCACTGACATTATAGAAGCATGATTTGGTCCATTGGGATATCTGAAATATCAAAACATGTAAACATCTTCATGAAATATAATCTTGGAAAGATTAAGGATGAAAAGGCAGAAGTGCTATTTCACACAACTAAGGCCACATGTGTCATTTGTTACCATCACCTGACCACCATCAAGAAATGTCATGATGAAGACCCTGACATCATTGTCAGATTTTCCTCTTCCATAGCCTGTTAGCAACAACAAACATTTTATATGATTAACTAAAGGTTTTAGGGGGCAGCACTTGATTGCTGGGCCAAGTATTTTCATTGGATACGCTGATAATAAGAAATATAATCAGCCTTATTCTTCAGAAATATGCAGAATTACACATTCAGAACAGGAATCTTAAAGAGTTTGTGTGCCAAACACTGTGTGTCTCAAACACTTATTGTTAAGGTATCCTTAACAAGGCAGTGACCATCCATTTAACGCAGCACATCTACTGGCAAATGTCCTGTGGCTGAAGAAAGGCAGGTTGCTTGTGTAGATCTATATGCATGGTGTGACACAATATGTAAAGCAATAAAAAACAGCACTAAACTCCATCTACTTTCCCTGGACAAACAAAGTTTGCCTGCTAGGCAGCTGCAGTAAAAGTTGCTGTATTTGCATTAAGAAATGTCGTTCAAGGCCCGGCGTCTCGCTCGCACTCCTACCCCTCCGGCTTTCAGTAGCTTCCTACGAAACTCCTCAGTTGGGTTGTTGAATGTGAGCTTCTCACAGCGGAGATGATTGACAGGCGGGTGGCCCTCCAGGTGGAGGAACAGGTCGTAATCAAAGCGAACTTTCTTCGGTTCTTCCTGAGGAAGAGTGGTGATGCACCCAGAGAAGGAAAAGAGAACAGTCACAGTCAGTCTATCAGAACCAACATTACGTTTAGTTTGCTGCTGAGTAAAATTGTTCAATGTACCTTGTTTTTAAAGTAAACTTCAATAGGCAAGATGAAGCCTGCGTATCCAGACTCCTCCACTTTGTACGGTGGATCCTTGCAGACTGAAATGAAAGAGAAATGAACCATTAAAGAGAAGCCTCCACCTTCAACACAAGGTGACTAACAAAACTGAAAAACTGGCTGAAATCCATTTAGTTCTATAAAATGCAAAGCAGCTGCCCAACAGTGCACAACAGTGGTATCTGTGTTTGTTGGTGGTGGATGGTTTCTTTCTCTGACGAACACTAACGGTTCAAACCATTATTATATCCATAACATCCTCTCACCACCCTGGACACAAAAACCAGGTGAATTTCTGGAAGTCTCCAGAGTGTCACTGGATGTATTGAGTGACTAAACCTGCAGCTCCATTCTCATGAGATCTCATTAATTTCCATTGCCTGCGCTGATATCAATGCAAAAAACTGTGGCTTACATTCGAACCAGGGCCTTTAAAGCTTGTTGATATCCACCCATCTCATGACAAGGTGAACACCTCCCCCCTCATACCCAGGGGCCTTTAAAGAAAAACAACTCAGCTCAGGTGTTCTTCCCTAGGGAGGTGTGTGTTTGTCAGCCCCTCTCCCAGTGGACTCTGCAGAAAAAGTACCAATTAAGTCCATGTATGTGGTGACTGGGTTTACTGGAATACCAAATAAAAGCAGATCTTAGCTTCTGTTCATCTTTAGTACTGCATCACTGTGATGCACAGCACGGATGGATGATATTAAGGATGTCAGAAGTCTTCTCAGATGCCAATTCAGTGCGTTCAAAATAAACTCTGCCACCCTCAGTTCATCACTGTGGTACTACTATATGTCCTCCATGTGGATTCGGAGAGGGTGTCACTGGAAATTTTTACTGGGACCAAAACAATGCCTAATAAAATGTTACTTCACTCAATAGGAACATGGTTTTTGAATAAAATAAGACACATTCTAAAATTAATCAGTGATATAACAGCAGCAAAGGAAGTCCATAAGAGTATAAAATGAATACAATTATTATTAAAAATCTATAATGATATAAAGAAAACCATCTGACCAATTGGTGTGAAACTTCACTTCTTCGACATGTTCACAAAAAGCATTTAGTCCCACACCCATTCCTTAAGTGGAGACTGTAGTCTGCTGGAGAAGCAACAAGTATAAAAGAACATAAGGGGGAAAAAAAACTTAATGGACTCCTAAGCAGCTAACAACTTGGCTTTCATTGATGAAGGAGACCTTGGAAATACCTTGAGTCATCCTCAGTGCGGACCAGGCTTTGGCATCAATCTAACCATCACTGTGCTCTCTTGTTTCATTTTAGAGCTTCAAGGACCAACAGTGATTGATGGCTCGGCTGACTACGCTGAGGTCAACCTCACCGCTGGGGCCAAGCCATCCAAAACCCAATACCACTGAGCAAATATTATGGGTTAGAGTTAATTGTGCAAGTGGGTCAGGTTCAATTACACCCAGCTAAAAGAGCCCATTCACCACCGCACCTTTATATAAACCGAGGTGGAGAAGGAGATGAGCTGAACCACCCCTAAATGGAAAGAAAAATTCAGACTCCAGCACATAAACTCAGTACATGTGCTGGTATATTTTTCTTATTTGCATGGATAACTGGGCAGACATGATGTCATGCTGAGATACTTTCAGTGAAACTGCAATGAACTTACACACCTCACAATCAGACCAAGGCTAGTACTGGCATTCTTTTTGGATATTTTGTTAAAAACAAAAAAAGCACAACATAAACAAAATATACTTTATAACAATGTCTTACATTTGGTTATCAAAAATGACCGAGCAGGACATTTAACTCTTACATGTCAACCATTACTGTAATTATTTTGTAAGCACTCCCTGATGGACAAAACTGTTAACAGAGTAACCATTTCTAAATGACCTCAAATACAGAATTTTTATGTCTGTGCTGAGATTCCTGGTCACTTAGTGGCTGATGTATACGATGGGAAGGACATACCTGTTATAAGCTAAAACACAGGGGCACCCTTGTGACCTAAGATGAAGACAATGACCACCAATAGTCCCAGTTCCTGTCCAGCTAGGGACTTTCGTTGCATGTTCTCCCCTTACTTTCAGTCACTGGCATACTGTCACTACCTGTTAAGAAGCATAACCAATCAATCAATAATATGGAATGGATAACACCAATATTCACTTGTAACTTAGGGCTCTGGGAAACTATGATGGGCATTTCCTAATATTTTCGGACATTTGATGGGAAAAAAATAATTGGATATCGATTTATCTATAAATAGTTGAGACCAACTCTTCACTATTAAATTTTTTTTTTTTTTAATTAATCCTCCCATTTCATTTTTCTTACACGTCTGTATGACAATGCACAAATTATTGTAAATATAAACTTATTTTGACTTACACCTAATGGCTAGCACTTTTATCCAAAGTACTTTACAAGGTTTTTGCTGCTCATTCACACCCACACACCCATCCCCCACCCACACCCACACCCTCACACCGACGGCAGCGAACTAGGAAGCGTCTTGCCCAAGGACACATGAGGACAGGACAGTCTCGGCATCCAACCCTGCACAGACACCTCATTTACACAAAAATATCATGCATTAAAAGTAGGTAAAAATATCATGTCAGTGCTTTCCTGCAGTGTTTTAGAGCAGACTGATATTTTGTTTGAAATGCAGATCCCCTCCGTTATTAAGACTGATAAGAGACAAGAGCATTTGAAATAAAAACATTTCAGCAATAACACTAGCTTACACTTTAGCATTGAAAACTGAATACTGTCCAAACTCACTGTCAAGAAAGACCACAGTGGTGTTGTAACTGAAAAGAAATATTCGGATTTGAAGTAACAGGTCAAGTTATGGTTAAAATGAGAGGAAAAAGCCTGAAGCTATATGAAGAAACAATGTGAAGGAGAAGTCAGCCCAGCATCTTGGCTGAGGTTCAGTAGTTCAGGTTGAAAAGGTTAATATTATCTGAAGGAGCGTCTGAGAGGCAGAGATGCACAATGCGACCGCTGACCTGTAACAGAAAACTTGCCAGTGGTCACAGACGCTTTCAAAAAGGGAGAGGGTTATGCCGTTTATTAACATGGCTTTGGTTTACACCCAGATGCCAATCACAGAACAATGCCAGTCACTATGTATTTGCCTTTTCTGCACAGACTGGTTTGTAATGAGGCCAGGCCAGACGACAGACCTGACCATAAAACAAAAGACAATAAGAAATAAAGAATAAAATTCTTTGGTGAGGCTTGTGGCTCAAAAATGAGTTCTTTCCGCTCGCTGATTTACTGTTATTCCCTCTTGTTTCTAATAAAGCCATTTATCTCAGCATCAGTTGGCCAATAAATGCCAGGCGTTTGGGTGGCCAATGTCCACATACGCTGCATAGAGAAAGTAAACAAGTTTATTTTTACTGTAAAACTTTGTGCTCGTCTTGGCTGTGATACATTAAGAAACAAATTTTAAAGAGAAACACAAATTATTATTCAAAACAGTAGTTTTAAATGTTTTAAAAGATGTCTGAAGGGGGTCTTCAATTAAATATTTTCACCATCTATTGCAGTAATTTAGCTGGTTTCTACAAGGTCCAGGACCATGCGACCACAGTAGAAACATTAGACAACTGTCATGAAGCTCTTGAAATACAGCTTCTCAGTTCTGGCCAGTGATGACTTCAACATTATTCCTCATTTTGCTCAATTGCTTTTCCTCTTGGAGTCCTGATAAGGACTAGGTAAAAATGGTACATTTTTTTGATACTACTGCTGAAACAATACTTTCAGTCAGATTCTTGTTTGATACCTTACTTAACGCCTTTTTTGTTTTTTAAATTTAACAGAAGAAGCCAAAGTTCCCAATTTGTAAATTCTTTCTAAACACGAACAATAACTTAACAGGGGAAAACATTAAGTCAATACCTGATTAAAGAATACGTAAACAAGATTACCACTCTAGCCAGATATGCAAGTCAATAGCCGTGTTTCCATCAATGCTTTTTTTATGCGCATTTTGAAGTATCGCATTAGAAAAGGTTGATGGAAATGGCAAAATAAAAAAAAATCCTTAATTTCGAAAAGAAGCTTTTACGCTTGCTTGAGGTGGTTTTTGCCTTTGTCGAAAAAAAAAAAGTTAATGCGCTAAATGGGAGATGGAAACAGACACATAGAACTTGTAACTCACGTCTGATCAGTTGTTTCTGCTGTCGCCGTCTTGCCGGGTATCCCCATAACGTACGGAGACATGGCTTGTAGCAACTTACCCGCTTGAAACACATTCCTGAGGACCTCTCTCCATTTTTCTAGGATCAATTGCCATCAGTTCCATGCAGCTGGTTTTGTTTCTGGTTTGGAACCCATAGGTCTTGTTTATTACAGCCACGTGTAACATCAACTACTGACGTAAATGCGCTTGCTGTAGCCTGGTTTATTTGCTCCAAACCTACATACTCCCCCCCCTTTTTTTGTGACATTTAAAAAAAAAATCTGCTTAAAATTTGCATGACAATTAGATGGAAACATGGCTAATGTCTTTCATACTCAATGGAGGTTTTGATTCGTCCCATAGAAGGTCCTGAAATGCAGTCCTACTCCTGACAAACCAAGCCAAGTTCAAAGAAATAGCATAAAAATAGCATAAAGACAAACTGATATGAAGTTGCACACAGGTCTGGGAAATAAAACAATAATGATAATTATCGCAAAATAATTTTCCTCAACAATGAATACAAATATTCGGTAAATGTTCAATAAATGTTTAATTAAATTAATTTGAATCACGCATGAATTAGGACTTTTCTATTAAAAAGATCTTTAGCCATACATATTTGTAAAAAAAAAAAGATTTTATAATAATAGTTTTGAATGTTCTACCTCAGATTTGTCAAGTGATCCACTGTTTGGCATCAAGTGTTCTGACCATAAAGAAAAGTTTAAAACCACAAATAAATCTGGTTACTTCAACTTTCACTCAAGAAGAAATAATGATTTGACATTTATCCTGATCATTACCGATATTGAATGATAGGAACATTTTTTACATACAAGGGCTACAAAACCA